TCTTCCCAGTCTCAGTGTTCCAGGATTCTTTCAACATTTCCCTGACCATAAGGCTCTGATGCCCTCCATTGTCTATTCTGTGTAGATAAATGTGTTTTTCTGTTTGTTTTAATAACATTTGTAGGAGCTTTATGTAGTGTCTATGTCTGCTTACGTTAGACGCTGTGTATTATAGTTAAGAGTCTTTCACCATTTCCCATATAAACCTTGTATTTTATGAGTTTGGGTGTGCTCAGCTGTAAAAACTCTCTCAGCTGAAAAAAAAATTCAAACAAATTGGGTTTAAATCAGGAGGGTGGTTTCAGACACTTTAGAGCATGCATATTTTTTCTTCACAGTCACTTTTTATTTAAAATGAGGCTGGCTGATGCCCTGGTTTCGTTTCTTTTATGAGGATTTAGCAAAACCATAAGTGTAACTGCTGCGTAGTAAGGGACCCAGAGTCTTTTCCATGTGAGACCTGGGCCTGAAAACTCCAGACTGCCTTCTAAACCCAGCTCAGCCTTCACAGGCTGTGTGACCCTGAGCCGGTCACTCCACCTCTTCAGTCCTTCCTTTGGGAATCTGCCCATGGCGAGCATGTCTGCCCTGGCTTTCTGTGTAGTGCATGGGAAGGGAAAAAAACACACCCATGGAAGTGAAAGTACAGAGCAAAGGTGAACGTGCTGTGTAACCAGAAGCTGCTGCAAATAATGACTTGCGAGTGTGCTTCTCTAGTCAACAGTGGATTCCAGAAGCCAGCATGGCCATCAAGGAAGAAGCTAGAAGTCCCACAGCTCATCCACTCTCTCATTTTATAGATTAGATCTACCCTGAGCCCCTTTTGAAAAGAGGGCTCTTAGTGAAAACAGAAGCCAAACAAATCTCAGATTCTTATGCAAAACTTTTTGATCCTTTAGAAACCAAAGAAGACAGACCAGACTAGAGATGCTGGGCTTGGGTGCTCTCTCTCTCCCCTCACCCCACACCTCTTCTTCCTCCTCCTTGGCCAGGTTTATGCAGTCCCCGCTAACTTGCCTTTTACCATTTCGGTGACCTTGGAAAAAACCCTTGGCCTCAGCAGCCATGGTACAGACCTCATAGAGCACGTGTGCAACTTAAATAATGCATGTTATGGATTAGAAAGGTGTTTATTTTTTGCTTGTCTCTAGCAGGTTTGAAATGCAGACAGAAGATTATGTGTGCTTTGTTTAAAGAATGAAAAACCAGCATGGCTAATAACTGATGGTCCTATGGCCTTATTCACTGTGGGCCCTCAGGTGCTGTATGTGCAAGGAAGGGTTTCTTGAAAGTACACAGGTCACAGAAGAAACTAGGAAGAATTTGCAACTTAATTTTAAGTGCAAAAGCAATTTTTTTTGCAAATATTTTAGCTTTTAAAGTGTAAGGAAAATGTAGCAAGCAAAAGAAGGAAAGCTGAAATTGGACTTTTTCTATAGATCAGAGGTGGAGTGTCAATGTTTTAATAACTATTCTTTCACTTTTCGTCACAGATGCCTTTAAATTTTATGGGGGTGTTGTCTTGTGTTTACAAAATGGGGAGGGTGACCTGAGATTGCATTATTGCACGTCCACCAGTAAGCAGGAAGCTGGTGTACAATGAATTTAACCAGCTCTGGTCATTATAGGTCATCTGGGTCCTTTCCTATTTTTCATTCTTGAGCAAAAATAGTTTCACATCTTTGTAAGGTCAGCATGTATTTCCATATAGCTAAATCTCTAAAATTTACTTTTGCTTATAATTTCATTTCCCCCAAATAAAAAAAAATCTTTCACTTTAAAGAAATAGTAATAATGACACCGTTTCTGCCTCAGCCCAGCGAAACTTTCCAAAAACAAAAGGAAGCAAAGGCTAGGTAGGCTTTAAAGTTATTCCCAAAGGAGGGAGGGGACATTGATATTTTCAAAGGACTGGCTCCCTCGCTGTGCCCGTGAGACTGGAGGCGGCGGCAGGAGGAGCGCGGCTCTGGGACTCTGGAGACTCTCAGCCACAAGTTCGCAGCAAACTGAGGGAACTCCGTCCCTCTTGGGGGCTGTTTTTCCAGTTGTGGCAGGAGGGTTAGAAACTGGCCCGGAGAAGCGTGAGAAAACATCCCAGTGACCCTCTCAGTGGGCACCAGCCCACAACATCAGCTTCTAGATCCTAGGTCTTACACTAGAACTGTCCGTGACTGGGACTGTTGGGGGGACTCCACCCTTCTCTTTCCCCTAATGACTTGAGCCGAGCTCGGAAGGGTTTTCAGAAGAGGCTGGTCTGTGCCAGACTCAGTGTGGCTTCGAGAGCAGGGCGCCCTCCCCTCCCGCTGCTCAGGGCTCCTGGAAAGCAGGACCTGGGTGCGCATTCTTCCCGTGCCTCGGATGCTTCACGGCGCTAAAAATAGTCCCGAGGTCTGCGCCTTGTGGTACTCCGAGGCTCGGCTGTGAACAAAGCTGGCGTCTTGGGTTCTAATCCACTCGTGGTCAGCTCTGCGCTGTGGAACCTCTACTCAACGTCTTGCTTCCTCTAAGTCTCAGTTTGCCCTTGCGGTCCACGATTTCTAAGAGGCTTCTTAGGTCTTGGAGAGAGGAAAGGGGGGAAATCAAAATCGATTTTTTTCTTTTGCTCCTCCCTGGGGGCCAAGAGGCCCGGGAGCCAGGAGCCGAGGCCGGGGGAGGGGTGCGCCCCGGCGCCTCATTACCGCGAGGTGTTGCCCTAGTTAAAACGCGGGTCTGTTTGATCTGGCGGCGGGTGGCGAAAGGGAAAAAAAGGAAGAAGTAGGGGGGCTGGAGTAGAAAGAAGCTCACACTTCCCCCACAGTTTCCCCGCGCCCATAAAACACCTTTTATTAACTCTTTCGCGTCTGGAAAGGCCCGCGTGTCCGCTCAGCCCCTGACTCGGTGTTTACAGCCAAAACTAATGGAATCCCATATTCACCCGGAGGCCCGGACAAGGTGCCTGAGGCACGTCTGGTGCTCCGACAGGCCCTGCCCGGAAGCCACCCCGGGAGCGCATGCCGAGGGCTCACGCTCCTGAGGCGAGGGACAAGAAAAGGACCCCGGGACCCGCCAGTGCGCCTGCCCTTCTTCCTCTTGGAAGTGGGCGCGGGTATCCGCTTAGTGTGAGCGCCCCCGGGCAATCGTAGGAACTGCTGGGACTCCTAAACACTCTTAGCATGGAGCCTAAAGCACGGTTATGCAGAAAACTAATGGCTTTCTACCATTCAGAGACACGTTTGGCCGCTTTGGTGTAGCCCTGCAAGCACTGCGCGCCAACGTCACCGTATCCATGCAGCCCCAGCTGTGCGCGAGCGCACGGAGCCTCCCCAGACTGGCGCTGATGCACAAGCGCCCAAATTAGCCCGCACACCTGCCTACCCACAACCTACAAAGTCCATATGCCCTCGCAGCTATTTGTTTAAAGGTCTACTGCTGTAGAGAAACCCAAATGCCTTAATGTAACCATACATATTCATAAGCATATTCCATTTCCAGTTACAGTTGCTACCATCAAGGAGATGAATTGACAACAATGGACGTGGGCACGGGGTGGAGGTGTGAGGATGGCACTGGAGCAGGCAAGGTTTCTGTCTGGTTGGTGGATTGAGTGGGAATTGACTCCACAATACCTAACACAACAGCAACATCTTGAAGGCCCCGTACAACCATGGAACTCATGGCACCGTTCCACTTCCATATACGAGCATGGGCGCATGCTCAGAATCTCACGTATATGCGTCTTTTCCTGAGCAAACCTCCCCATTCTCCAACTACACTGTTCCCCGGGGGTTTCCCAATACTCGGAAACCACTATCAGCAGGCACCGGTGGAACGTACTAGGGCGCATACCAACTCAGAGAGCGACCCACAGAAATCTTAGACTCTTACTCCGTGTGTCCAAGTGCCCATTTTAATTTCTTCGGGTTCACTACAGTTACCCTGCGTCCCCATTTTATTCTAGGGAACACTTTGCTCTTTGTCTCAAGAATATATTCGTGTCCTTCTTCTTCCCCTTTCATGGGTTTGCAGTTTGGTTTGGTGCTTACCAAAAGAGAAGCAGGAATACAGAGCCACGATGGAGTCAGGCAGTATCTCCGCCCCAAACAACACATAGGCTTCCTGGACTTTCAGAAACCATTTTATTAATCAAGAGCATAGATACTGCTTTGGTAAAGGGAGGGGCAGTGAGTGGTACACAGATCTGAGGTAGAAAAAGGAGGGGGGAACGAAGAGGCAATACACAAACACCTGAGCGCAGCAGGTAAGGTAGGTAGTTTAAATACATAAAAACTTTCCGATGAGGGAGAAAGTTTTTATTTACAGAAAAAAAAGAGTAAAGAAATAAAAAAGCTTTTCTCTTGGAACTAAGTAGGAAGTGCAGCGACAAAAAATAAAATAAAATAAAATACAAACACGACTATTTAAGGGAGAAACACAACAACAACAAAAAAGGCAAACCCCTTCCCGACCTATTTTCCTGCTTTGGGCACTTTCCCAGGCAGAACACTATTGAGTCCTCTTACTGCATTTTCATTCGAGAAAAGGATTCCCCGGGATTTTTGAGGCAAAGCAGAGGGGGAGGGGGATGAGAGAGAAAGAGAGCGAGACTGCGGGGTGAGCGCAGAGTGGCGGACACCGGGTTCGCCCCAGGAGGGTCGGGGGTGGGGGGGGGGGGGGGAGAGAGAGAGAGAGAGAGAGAGAGAGACGTCTTCCCTGCGATTCCGCGCGATTCGCGGTCCCTCCCTTCCCACATCGTGCCGACCGGGGTCGCCCTCTGGCCTAGGGAAGTGGATATATATATATTTCTCTTAATCTTTATGTATTAAAAACAATTTCAAATGACATTGCACGTGCGATCCGAATATGCGGTTGCAGCGGACGACTTGCCAGCGCGCAGCAGCGGCGCAGCGGGACGCGTTCCCCGAAGCGCTGGGACCCGCCACCGGGCCCTCGCCGCCTCCTGCCTTTCCTCCCGGGCTGCTCCGGGGTCGCCTGGCCGCGGCCCGCTCCTCGGCGGCCCCGGCTCACTGGTTTAGCTCCAGCGCCCAGACTTGCTGCGGCCAGCCGGTGCGCCCTTTAATCCTCTTCTCGCCGGGGCCCTGGGCGGGAGGAAAGCCTTCGTGCTGCTGCTGCTGTTGCCGGGGAACATGCACAAGAGAAGAGGCGAGAGAGACCGCTTTAAACTTTCTGCTCCGATCGTCTAGAATCTAGTTGGGGCAGGAGGGGGTTGTTGGGAGCAGTAACTGTGTGCCTTTAAGTAAGTGACGGATTTCTGTTTGCAAAATATGCAAACAGGCTCATAAATTTGCCCTTATGCGCTGAGTCCCAGGGACCCGGGCTGGGCCGGGCAGCAGTGGGAAATTTGAAAGGAGACTTCCTTACGCCTGGTCAAACTGACGCTTGAAAGTTTGTCTCCTGCGGGTGGAGGAAGAAAACAGGGCTGGGAGGGGCTAGAGGCAAAGCGGGATGAGTGGAATCACCAGTTTCCCCGCAGTTTGGATCTGCTCTCCAAATACACCCCTCTGATCTTCCAACCTGGTTTAGCATCTCCTGTTGGGAGGCAAGCTTGGATCCTCTCCACTCAGCGCGGGGAGCCTGTCACACTTGGTAACAAAACACCAAGGAAGTTACCCTGGCCTGGCCTGGGCCTGCTCCCCGCTCTCTTAGAGGGAATTGGGACATAGCACTTGTGGGAGACAGCGACACGCCAGAGGTGGCCACTTCCACCAAGATGCCACCCGGGCCTGCGCTTCCCCAGCCCAGGGGCAGAAGTCCAGAACCTCAGTTGCCCTGTTTGTGGATCTTTCTTGATTGATCTTTTGCTGGGATACCTCCTACTCGGTGCGGCAAATAAAGCCCAACGGGGTTTTCTAGATTGCTCCATTCATTGCAGAGTGCATCCAGCTACCTCTCATTAGGGAAATACACCTCCTGGAGAGGTCCCTTCACCTCGTCCTGGGCCGAGAAAACCTAGAACCTGCAAGTGACCTTCTCACTGGAAACATAAGAACTAGCATTCGAATTTAAGAGCAGGGTGTGTGAGCCTTGTGACTTTTGTCTGTTACACAGAGCCACCGGCCTAATCCTTAGACTCGGTCCACTGTGGATAGAGTGTGAAAAGAGCTTCACCTCTCACTCTTTGACTAGGCCATCTTCTCCACGTCCTGGCTCACTTTTGGCCTCAGTTTACCCAGTTGTACAACTATTGTTGATTGTTGTTGTTGATAGCCTTGGAGCATGACTCATAGGGACCCTATGAGCAAAAGGCCTGAAGCCTTCCTATAGTTATCGACATTTATAAAAATTCATAGTTTGCAGAGGCATGTTGTTTAGGAAGCAGATGCCGCTCCTGCTTGTGTAGCATTATACTTACAGAGGGCCTTAGAAACAGTAACTGATTCCAAACATATACACACTCAAAGGAATGACTCCCACAGATGTTAACCTGGCTTCCAAGCACCCACGAGGGACTGGGACACCCTTCACTCCCAACAAATGCAAATGAAATATGTGCTAGGTCTATATTCTCAGACCCAGAGCCTCAACAATTCTTTAAAAGGGGCTCTGGGATACCCATTAAAAAAGATTAAGATTCCACCGGCCCAGTCTTACAGATACTATTCCACATTACAAATAAATACAATTGTGAATCTCCCCACGCACACAATCCTACGCTGCAACCACCTCAGAATTCCCTGCAACCTCTTCAAATCACACACACAACGCTCTCCTTCTGCTGGTGGCACCGCCTGCCGATGATGTTTTGTGCCCATGCCCGTTGCTAGCCCGCACAGGGCCCTAACTTACCAGCTCCCTTTTCCTCTTGCTCTCGCGGCCGCCATCGGCTTTCTTGAGTTCAGCCTTGAAGGCCTCGTGGTCACCGGCCTGGGCGTCCTTGGCCAGGACGTCCATCAGGTAGGCGATGTAGCTCGTGGCCAAGCGTAGAGTCTTGATCTTGGAGAGCTTGGTGTCTGCCGGCACGTTGGGGATGCATTCGCGCAGCTCTGCGAACGCGCTGTTGATGCTCTCCGTACGTCTCCGCTCCTTTTTGGGTCCCGGGCCTTTCCGTCGACCCAGGCGGCCGCCAAGTGCCTCCAGCCGCCCGGGGCTCTGGCCCGGCCTGGCGTCTGGGCCGTAAGCGGCTGCGTTGGCGGCAGCCGTGGGCGGTGGCCCCCCAGTAGGGAAGTCCGGGGCTGCATCGGCAGGGGGGCTCAGGAGCCAGCTCTGAAAGTAGGGTCGCTCCTGATGACAACGCGAGGCCGGGCCGAAGAGGAAAGGCTCGTGGAGCATGGGGTGCGCGGGGTGCGGGTGGTGATGGTGATGGTGGTGGTGATGATGTGCGTAGCTGCCCACGAGGTTCATGTTGGAGCGGCCCCTGGCCTGCGCCGCCAGCCTGGTTAGCGCCGCCCCATGCGCCCCAGAGACTGCGGGGGCCACCGGGAAGCTCAGGGACTGCGCTAGGGTGAGGGCCGGCTTCGGGGAGATCCCGGGACTCGCAGTCTGCAGCCTTCCAACCGGCTTCTGTGGTGGGCGAGGAAGCAGAAGCCCAGAGACCTGTTTAACCCTTCTGCAGCCTTTCCACCCAGTTCTGGCTTTTATAAGGCTGCGGCTTTGATGTCAACCTCTCCCTGGAACCAATGGCAGGGGGCGGAGAGGAAGAAGGAGGGGGGCGGTGGCCATTCCTGGTTTTACGCCGGGCAATCGCCACTCGCCTCCAGGCTGTCCGTAGGGACAGAGAGGTGGCCCCATCGCAGTCTCAATCTGGAAGCCTCTTTCCTGACTTGAGAGGAGGCTGATGACTTGGGGCAAAGATCTGCCAACTCCCTGGACCTCACTGCCATCCTCTCCCCTCAGGCCCAAGGAAAAGAATCCCGAATTACCGAGCGAAAAGGAGACTTTTGCCCACAGCCCACCTTTGATTTTACAAATAGGTAAACTAGGTTGAAGGAAAGGAAACGTCTTTTTTTCTAAACGCAAATAATTCAAAATAGGAGTTTCAGAGGTTCTGAGTTCCAAGCTCTTGTCCCAGATCTGGGAGCTGGGAGGACGTTGCTGAATGTAGAACAGGCCCTTACCTTATTTTCGCCCCCCTTTGCCCGACTCAGGCCCTTTCCACCGAATCCGAACCCCTCCTGTGTTGAGTCCTCCCCAGCCTTGACTCTGGCCAGACCTGGACTGACCAGCAGAGATATCTCCGACGGTGGGGTGCTGGCCAAGCCCAAGGTGCGTTGACCAGCTGGAAGGCCAGATATCCGTTCTCCCTGCTCTCTGTTCGTTTCCTGGGTTCCAGAGAGGCACATGAGGCAGCTGGACCGAAGGCAAGGCCGTCCTGGGGTCGCTTGACCCCGTGGACATAGCGAACAGGCCTACTTTCCTCTGTTCTAGGGAACGGACCTGAAAATGCCTGATTCTCTAGAGACGAGGGCAGGGCGTTAAGCTGTCTCTGAGCGATTGGGGCCTTCGGATGAAAAAGCATGCGGCAGTGACCACCACTCACCAGGGAGACCTGGTGGGTCTCACTCCTGCGGGAGAGGGCCCTCATCCTGTGCCGGCAGCCCTCAGCTATTTCCCTTCTTCACCACAGCCTTTATGTGCCTGGTGGATTTCCTCACAACGGTCTTTCTGATTCCCCAGGGCTGAGGAGGATAGAGAGGAATCCCAAGGCGGTAGGTCTTGAGGCTGAGGACTCTTCATGTTGTCTGATTTCAGATTGCAGGATTCCAGTGCCGACTCACACAGCTGGTCCCTCCATCTTTACCACTTTCCCAGCTCCTTTTCTGGTGTAGTTCACTTGGTAATTAAAAACCTCCTTGTCCCCAAAGCAAAGCTGAGGTGAGAGTAAAACTTTTAAAAGGGCAAATGAAGAGAGTGAGAATGGGTGTATAAGTGGAAGGATGCAATCGATGTCATGGAATTGTACTCACAGAAATTGTAGAATCACTACTCCCTGCTGTGTGTATTTTTAAACAAAAATATACATAAAGTTCTTTTTTAAAAAGCCAATTCACTCTTTTACTATTCTTCAGTAATGGTTTACTGATAGCCCACCCCGCCTGGCACAAGTATTAGCCCAAAGGCTAGGTAGAATGCATAGTTCGCACTGTCCAGATAGAGACAGTGGGCCGGGAGAGGAAGAATGAGTTTTCTGGGGATCCTGAAGCCCTCGGATATGTGCAATTACGCTCCTGTAGAGGGAGGTGCCTTATTTCCAAGGACTGGCCCCTCAACAAGCCCCAAGCATGTGAGATCTATCGTCAAAGCGCCTGTGACAATGGGCTCTAATGAGGAGGATGCAGGAGAGGGTGCAGGTCAGACCTGCTCCTCACAGTTGTCTCCAAGGCGTCTGACAAGAAGGGGTGAAGGGTAGCCACAACGAAGCCATTCCCTCTGTAGTAACCCCGTCGTGCAAGTCGAATTGCTCCCTAAGTTTTCTCCTAGGTTGTGATATTTACGAAACAGATCACCATGGCTTCTTTTTAAAGTTTATTACTTACTTTATTTTTGTTGTTTAATATAAGTAGCAGAGTCTACACTGATTCAACAGTTTCTCCAAGTCTACCAGGTCTTTTCCACTAGTGGGTACAGACTACTGGCTTTTGGGCTGGTGGCAGAACACTTGAACCACAGCGTCACCAGGACTCCCAGAAGGCAAGGGGGAGGGGAATCTTACTGGACAACAAGGGGACACACGCTTTATGGCTGTCAGGCTTAGCGCTGAACTGTCCAGTCCCGCTTGTGGGTGACGGTTGGGGCTGTGGGGGGTGCGTGGGGTGGGGGAGGGAGGCTCGGGTTTGCTGCCCCGGGGCCCGCAAGCCGCCGCTCTCCGGGCGCCTGGCGCCAGCAGCTGTGGGGTTGGGCCGAGCACGGAGCCGGAGGCTCGAGGGGAGGGAGCGCCCGGCGCCCAGTTCGGCGGCGGCTCCGCGGGGTCCTACGCCTCCCGGGGCTGCAGGGCGACGTTCACTGCCTGGAGGCATCCTTGGATTGGGGGTAAATGGGTGTGGATGGTAATTACTCCGTGGAGAAGGACCTCAATCATCAACACATCCATGCTTTGCCCTAATCCGAGCACCATCTGACTCCCCCACCGCCTCCCCAGCTTCTTACTGTGCCTTTTAGGAACCTACGATTGATTACACGTGAGCAATAAACGCACAGGCTCACACGACCTGAAGGACACGCGCGAGGGAAAGCTCAAAAAGGCGGTAAGCGCATGTAGAAGCCAGAAGGACCTGTGTTCTCACAGTAACACACCCACACGACACAGCGTTTCATAGATTCAGGCATTCCTTGAATTTTACACGTTACGCCTGCCACACAGGCCAAACACCAAGCTCCAGCCCTGTTGTCGTTACAAACCACACAGAATCATATTGTCAGGTTTGCAAAAGACACCATTTAAAATGTTACCCTGTGCCATCAAGTCTGAACCAACTCCTAGCTGACCTTCTAGTGGACTTTCAGAGGCTGTAAATTGCACTGGAAGAAGTCTTTCTCTGAGGAGCAGCTAGCTGGTGGATTTGAACCACTTGCCATTGAATTTGCAGCACAACTCCTTACCACCAGAATACAACTCCTTACTACCAGAGCTTCTCCCAGCCCGTTACTTTCAGGTTGAATTCTGATTCATCACATTCACATTCACACAATAATATCACATAGTCAAAGGACTTTATACGAAAGTCTCCGGTTAGGGACCTCTCCAAAGTATTGAAGAGCAATGGTGTCACTCTGGAGACTAAGGTGCATCTGATACAGGCCATGGTCTTTGCACTCGTTATGCGTCAGAGAGTTGGACAATGACTAGGAAGGATAGAAGGAGAATTGATGCCTTTGGACTGTGGTGCTGGAGAAGAGTATTGAGGGTACCATGGACTGCTAAGAAAACAAATAGATTCATCCTGGAGAAGGTTAAATCGGGCTGCTCCTTGGAGGCAAGGATTCTGAGGCTTTGTCTGACATACTTTGGACATGTTGTAAGGAGGGACAGGTTCTTGGGAGAGGAACATCATGCTTGGGAGGGTGGAGGGACAGCACAGGAGGTGAAGACCCTCTATGAGGTGGATTGATTCAGTGATTGGGGTAATCGGCATGGGTGTGTCAGAGGCAGTGCTATTGGCACAGGATAGAGCAGGGTTTAGGGCTGTTGTACATAGGGTCGCTATGAGTCGCAGGTGACTGGATGGCACATAACAACAACAACAACAACAAAGGATTTTACACATATCCTTCTGTGATACACAGTACATCTGCTCTGTTTTTGCCTCAGTTCTCCTGTAGATGTATTCATAGCATACACTTCCAAAAGCTCTGTCACAGGTTTCATGTATTTCAGCAAAAACAACAAAGCCACAATTACACACACACACACACACACACACACACACACACACACACACACACACACTCCCAACTGAAACTTGCTACCACAAGCTGATTCCAACTCATGAGCAACCTTCTATTGGATTTCCAAGGCTGTGATCTTTACTGGAGGGAGCTCTGGTGGCCTAGTGGCAAGAAGCTGTGTTGCAATCCCTAAGGCTCATGGTTCGAGGCCACTAGCAGCTCTGCAGGAGAAGGATAGGCAATCTCTTTTTGTGCTATTAACTGCCTCTGAAAACCTGCCAGAGGGTCAGCTATGGGTCAGTTCCCACTCCACGATACACAACAAGAACAATCTTTACTGAAACATGCTCATGTCGCTCCTGAAAAGTGGTTGGTACACTGAAAAGGACATCCTTTTGGTTACCGGAATTTGGTAACCGATTTGCTACCTCTCTCTCATTTCCGTTGAGTAGGAACCAACTCATAGGTGACCCTCCAGCGGGTGCTCAAAGTCTGTAAATCTCATGGGAAGAAACTGCTCATATTTCCCCCTCAGTGAAGCTGGTGGATTCCAACTGCACTCTTGGGTTGGCCACCAGAGCTCCTATAAACACACCCACTCAAACCCATCGCTATCAATTCCAGAGATTCATGGCGACCCTCCCTCCATTGGGTTTTTAGGGCTGTAAATCTTCTGAGGAGGAGACTGCCCATCTTCCTCCTGTACAGCGGGAGGTGGACTCAAACCACTGATCTTTTGTTTAGAAGACCAACAGGTAATCACTATGCCACCAGAGCACTTTTATACACATACTGGGGCTCATAAATAAATGATCTAATGTTGATATATACCAAGTCACACACAGATTTCAAATAGCCAATTGGCCATCAACGATTGACATTTCCCATACAGTCACATTCATGCCTCAAAATAAAGTTGTATAATGTTATGTGAGAAGAGCCTAAAATACTCCACTATCCACCAAGAGGTAGATGGTTTGAGCCTCCCAGTGACTCTTTGAGAAGAGAGCTCCAGTGAT